TGAAATCTGTTTTCCTTGCCCTTCGACCTCTCTTTCCACCAAAAGCCATGGGTTTGGAGGAGAGGATGAAGGAGTGATCTATACCGAAAGCCACAGATAGATCTTGCTTAGTTTTCAAGGCTTAGAGATCCTCACCAAGTGAGTCGATTTAAAGTTTTAAACCCAAGATCGAACCTTTGAAACCCCTGACCATGAATCTCAACCCTAGGCCCTTTCTCTTAGCATCTTTACATCTTAGCTCGTCTTTCGCTTGATCTCTGATAGCATCCTGGTCCTTAGTTTTACTGTTCTTGCATTTTTAGACGAGATCGATTGTTACTGCTCGATCTAGTGGTCGATCTCATGGTCGATCCACTAGTCGAATTTTAATAATTCGAAGTTTTCTCCTTTAATTATTCTGTTTATTTCTTGTGGTAGTTTCTTCCTTTCTAGTATTTTTAAAATAGGTTTCATTCCATTTAAGTTGCTGCATCTAGTTTTTAGAGATTTTCTCACAAATCATCTCATTTCGCTTAGATTTGCATTAGTCCTTGTATTCTCTGTGCATTCTCTATCATCCTAGGCATGGATTGACTCTCTCTTGCTTGCTGTACTACAACATGTCTTGCATTTGAGTTTGATAACCTCACTGCAATTTAACCCTTGCCCAAAAAGTGTTTATCAGGTATAAGAAGTAATTTTCTGTTAGTTGGCTAGAGTTTTGGGTAATTTCAATTATTTTTAGTTTTAAAAATAATTGAAAAAGAAAACAATTTAGAAGAAGGATATATCAGATTACGTTTTTAGATTTAGAGATATGAGAATATAGCCGGGAATTGCCAGAGGAATAGAGGCAGAATATTCACTGAACCGCTACGGAGAACGCCAGTTCTGCTGATCCCATGTCATAAACCCCCGATTAACTTCCCATTCAACTTGATTTTACTTCTAAAAGAAAACCTTCACTCCAGATCGGCCGAGATAAACGACATAAAGGCAAGGATTTAGTCCTCAAAGAAAAAAAAACAAGCAGATCAATAACGAAGGGCTTCTCCAAATTCATCAGGAATCAGAAATTATTGGGAATCTATAGAAAGAAGATAGGCCGTTCAAACAAAAAAATGCGCAACGGGCTCCCCACCTTTAGTCACTAAGTAGTGCTCTTCTCATTTCGCCCGCCCGTTTCACTTCCGCGCCGGAGGAAATGGGATTCAAACCCATGATATAATCTTTTTATATGTCGATTTAGCAAACCAATGCCTTAAGCCACTCAGCCATCCCTCCAAGTTGTTGATCAGAATTTTGTGTGCGGTTGTTTGTTGACCAGCAATAGCATGGGAGAAAACTAAGAACAGGGGGCATAGAGATCTCTTCTCTTAACAATATTTTAAACTGATTGAGGATTTTGCTTTTCTTACGATTTCCCCTAAATAAAGGAGAGAGAGAACAAAGTGAACAAAGAGTAAAGTCTTACTTATTTAAGCTGAAATGAGAATCTTTTTCTCTTGTGATATTTTATAGAGTTTCATTTCTTTTATCTATCTCCCCATTCGAACGAGGGAAGTGAGCCCGTCTAAGAGTAAGCTAACCATTTACTAAATCTGCATCTATCGTCACGAATAACTTATTTTAGTTTATCTGTCTGCCAGGATCAAACTCTTCTTTTGGAGGAAGCTAACCACTAACCAAATCCGCATTTCTTATCCGGAACAACAGAATTGAGTTTATCTGTCTAGTAAGGTGTGAAACCTGCTCTTACTTACGAGAGTGAAGGAGTAGAGGTTAGATGAGTTAAGAGAGGAATGGAATAAGCTCTTGAAGCAATAGGAGTTCTTGGTGTAACCGCAGTTGAGTAAATATCCGCCGTGGTTGAATCACTAAGCTGTGGTAGTGCTGGAGATCTCCACTTCTGATTCAATTGTTCGGGTCAAAGTGAAATAGAAAGAATTTAATTGATAGCTTCAGTAGTAGTTGCTTGATGGTGTGTAGTGGGATGGCCTGGTAGCGTTCATAGTAGTATGTATATGAGCAGGACTTTCAAGATCTGATATCTTTCAAGAAAGTCGGACCATTTATCACATCAAGGTAACTACGATAGGCAAAAGAAGACTCTTAGGTCGTTGATTCAAATTCTACCTATATTTGTATTCACTAGAAGGACTTGTGCCAACCAACAAGAAGGGGATGGAGCAAAGACATCTCTTGGCCAGAACCGAACACTGCCCTTTACCATCTCACGACTAGGAGACTGGGACTCGAGGCGTGGTTAAGTATTCCCTTCCGCTCTGGAAGTCAATTTATTTCCTATCTTTCGGTTTAAAATCTTTTTTTCTTATAAAGAGTGTATTGTATGGTCCAGTTGGTGTGGAGAGATGGGTCACTCTTGCGCATCTCGCGCTGTGGTGATTGGTAGAGGAGCCGAGCGTACGCAAGAATAAAGTGCCTCAGGGCTTCCACTAGGCAATCGGACCACTACATCGAATGAAATAAACTGGTTTCACGCTGCCTGAGGTCAAGTCTTCCCCGCTATTCTAACTCTAAATCCCGGTCGCACCGTTCGCACAACAAATCCACTTTGAGGCATCGGCTGAACCTTCGATCCTTTAGGAAATGACCAGCAACAGGAGGATGAGATGCCGAGGAATTTTGGTGCTAATGCCAGGCAGGCAGGACCAATCTCGTTGTTTGGGCCAGCTGAGAAGACATACAGCGCACTCAGGACTAGGCCCGTATCCAGAACGAATAGAAGGAGGATAATTGCCATTTTTATGCTAACAGGCTGCTCAACTTTTGGAATGAGAACCAAAAGAGACCGATTAATCTCCGCGTACTGTCTCGGATCACTCATGGGAACGGGAGTGGGTGGTCCCTAGGAACGGCGGAAAGGAAGTACTGGTTCAACCAGATACGAGTGACGGAACCGGGGTTGATCAAAGACATGCGCCGAGTGCCAGGAATGACTATAAGCCGATAGAGTCGTTGTGGCATGCCATGAACCGAGATACAATTTGACTAGTGCCAGGTACAAGAAAGAGTTGATTGCCCGAAAGAGGTCAGTCTCTTTCGAGGAAACTTCCCTTACAACCTATATAACATAACAAGAAAAAAAGGCACTTTTGAGCTCTAAATGTCTTGCTTTCAAAACAAGTTTACCTTTCTTACTTGCTTTAGAGCTTTAGAGCTAGGAAGGCAGCAGAGCCAACTATCTATATGTTGTTGCTGATAGCATTGCTGCTTCCGAGGAACGCCTCTTTCAAAGCCATAGGAACGAACTCATAGCTCAACTACAAGAGCTCATAACTAAGAACCCTCGAGCTAGCGCACTCCACCCGTTGCTTGTTCTTTAGCGCCGTTGCTCATCCCTTGCATTTGAATCAAAAGGTAAGATGCAGCATCCTAAATCCTTTTAGCATCGGCGTATGGGTACTTCATGATAATACTGGACCATGTCTGACTTTTTCGTAAGACAAATCATTCTCTTTCTATTTCTTTTTTTCCGGCACCGCGAGCAAGGAGTGCCGCCAGCAGAGCGAGAGTAACCCAAATACAGTTTGTATTATGTTGATAAAGAATTTGATTCCTAGTAAGCAGCCTATGAAACAAAAATTTCGTCTATTTCCTAGTCACTTGCGTTGAATACAAAACCTTAATAGGTTTCATGCACCACTACACACGCTTGCAGACCTTCTTCCTTTCCAATAGATCCTAGTTCCCTTCCGGGGGGTTCTTTCATCAATCTCTCTGAGTCTTTCTAAGCCAGTTCAGTTACTTCTACTTAGGATACATTGGAAGCCGATGGAAAAAGAGTATTTACTTAGGAGGGCTAAGACATTGAAGGATAGTGTCCACTCCAGACCTCTCCTGGTGTTTTGTTTACGCACCTTCTAATTAGTCCTTGCCATTTCTGACTTATCTTACTTAAGGCTCTCCATAGCTATTCTTATCAGTGCTTCCCTTCCTTCAAGTCTTTCTTCTAGTTGTTTTTATCCCTACGAGAACAAGCCATTTCTTTTCTGGGCAGAAGTCAGGTAGGAGGGGTTCCTCCTTTTCTCTTCTAGCATTAATAAGACTTTGACTTCTTTGCTTAAGGAAAGGCGTTCCTCGGAGCAAACATGGCATGAGTCTTAACGTCTGCATCTAAAAGGGTAGAGAAAGTATAGGAATAAGGTTTGCATTCTAACAAATAAGATTTCGCAAGGTGAGGCTGGGACGAGAGACAATCCATAGAGCTATGATTCTTTTGTGACTTCCACCTTTCGTCGAGTGTGAAATGGTGGGAAAACAACCTCTGGCATTGGTTGGTCAAGATCCGAGGCTTAGATTAAGACAAATAAGCCGCCGAACGCTGCCTCTGAGGAGATGTACGAATACTCATTCTCTTACCAATGTCTCTACTTCTCAAATCAATTGGAGAGGCCTCGAACGCCAAAAATAAAGTCATTGACAGAATGGATTTCGATCTAGGCTCTAGAATAGGATTTATGAAGAAAAAAGACCCGAGCACACGCCTGAAAGCAGCCTGACTTGAATAACCAATTGTTTTTCCTCTTTTCTCTCTGGATTCTCTGGATTGGGAGAACCCCTGCCTCAAAGAGTAGGGTTCCACCGGCAGGAATTTCCCACTCCCACCGGACGACATGCGGATAGAGAAATGCGACTAAGCTAGATTCAGGAACAGCTTCTATTAGTACACAATCTTTTTGAATATAGATCAGCAGCGGATGTTGCGACAGTAACTACAACATCGACAACAGCCTTCAGTTGTCGAAGTAAGGAATTACTAGGAACTGCTTTCATTCCCACGATATGCGCCAACAGGGCTTTTAGGAAGAGTAGTAACAGCGCCAGTAACCACTTTCTTTATTCCGGACTTTCAGTAAGGAATGATAGAACAGCTGATACAAAGATAGTGAGAAGAGCTGATATGCTTAAGCGTCGAAAGGACTGTTTGCTTACGTGCCGGATTGCTTTTCTAAAAAGCCAGTATAGTCACAGCTGATATTTCTATACGAAAGAAAGCTTTAATAATAGATGCGATTGTGAGCAGGCTTACTTGTCAGTGCTAGCTTGTATGCGCTTTCTATTACAGCAACAGCTTTTATGCGAAAAACAAGAAAAAGGAAAACTGCAGCTCTGCGACATAACCAGTCTTGCAGAACTGGAAGAACGAATTAACTCGACAAGGAAACCAAGTCAAAGGGGTTGCGCCTGACAGCCAAGCGCCAGTTTTTGTAATCTCTTTCCTTCCAAGGAGTCCTTGTCTTCTTGCATCACGGCCTCGATCTACGCAATGAAAACGTATTTCCTCTAACTGCCCATAAAGTCAGAATTCAACGAAGAGCACTCATTTATGATGTAACTATGTACCTAGACCGGCCTTACCCGATACATTATTAACTTGCTTCCCATAGGAAGAAGGTCTGCAAGCCTCCATATGATTGATTCTCGCAATGAAGTCTTCCCGTTGATTCCACTTCTTTCTCCCCTGACTCATTCTAGCAACCCCACCTTGGTCTCCTAGGCTACTTGTAGCCATCACTACCGCGGGTCTTTGCTCATAGTCACGAATAAGCTTCTCCTAAGTCCTCTTAGCCATTCAAAGATGAGACTGACTGACTTCTATTAAGTAATCGGATAAGACTGATGCACTCACCTTTAAGACATCCTCGATCTCCTACCCGGCTAAAAACTAGATTCAACATTCTATTCTAATCTTCGACCTTCATGCCAGGGGTTCCTCCTCGACCACTTAGACTGATGTGGTAAATTGATCTCCCTGAGTGGCTTTTTCCTCCGGCCGAGTCATCTTTCGCTTAAATACCTGGAACTGAGATGGATGCGGATGGAGAAGGATTCAATAGTTCATCATGAGCTGTCCGAAACCGTACTTCTTCCCGCGAAAACTCGGAATTAGCTTTAGCTCGAACCTTGATCTGTTGCTCGAACTCTAATACACTGTAGTAGCAGGCGGCACTCGAGTTCTTTGTGCCAGGTGTCAGAAAAAAAGTACGCAATTTCCAAGCATCCTAAGCGTGCATCATCTCTTGTCTCAATGGAAGGCCAGGGCCTTCAAAGCGGATTCCGCCGGAAGCTAATCCAGTGCTTGTTGAGCGGAGGACCGAACATGAATTATACCCATAAAAGGTCCTTCCTACCCCTATTCCCAAACCCCTTCCCCTCTGAGGGCACGGGCACACTTTCAGGAAGTAATGTAGTAAACAGTCGAATTTCAAATAGAACTATGGTGACCTTGCAAAAAAGATCTTTTCTTCGTTTGAGTGTACCTTTCCTATGACTATTAATCCTGATGAAATCCGTGAAGTTTTTACCTTGTTTTAGAAGCTTTCTTTGGCGTTGAGTGAATATTGGGCTAACTTTGTTACCTTATCTTCTTCTTTTATTCATAGGAATAGAAAGCACGATTAAGCGGTTTTTCAATGGCAAGTGCCGGTCGTCGAGTGGCTGAACCAACCCCTACGGCGGATCCACGTACTGATGAATGCCAGCCATCCTTTATCGAGTAGCCTTGACTATTCAAAAACCCTTGCTGATTCGATAGCCTGAAAAAGATCGACCACGATTTTGATTTCTGACTGCCTATGCCTCTAACGATGCTTCGGGCAAACTGTAACTAGGTGCCCTACTCCTACCCCCCCTGTTCTCACCTTCATCTCTGCTGCCTCCGCTCCAGCTTGCTCGAGGAACGCCTATGCAATCACAGCTCAGTAATGGACTGGCGAACTAAAATGGATAGCTGCTGGGAGAATTGCGACTGATGAATCGCGATCAGCCGCTGATTCCCTTGCCGTTGGATTCGTGCCTCAAGACTCTGCCACTGGGACTCGGTCGGAAGAATCTACTGCGGCCTTCTCTACCCACCTTTATGAATTCTAACCCCCAACCAGCCATGACAAGGCTTAATTTATTAGAACCCGTTGTTGTTTAGAAAGATGTGTTATTCCTGTCCTGTGAAAGTCTCGTTTTTGACTCCGTTTTTTTTGAGCATTGTACACGGGCTTTGCTGCGACGAGGATGCCTTTTTTAATCAGGCCAACGTCAAGACCTGAAACAGAGTCCTACCACGTTAAGGGAGAGCACCCAACTTGCTTGTTGACACGTGAGGGAAAATAGGAGTCTGAGGTGGCAGGATTTACCACTATAACCCTATGGTAGTGATGGTTGGTCCCAGTACTCCTTCGAGTGCCTTTTGCGCTTAGCGTCGGAAAGAGGAGTTGCTTGCCTTACCACACCAACCACCTTAGCACTGGAAGTTCTAGCAATGGGCAGCTAGGCAAAGGAAAATTAGCTATCTAATTCATATTCATTAGATAATAGATTGTGGATCTGTTCTTAGCTCGTGCAATCAGTAAAAGTGGTCCTTCGCCTTAGTAAGCTAGCTTTCAAAGCCCGAGCATGGATCGATCTTGATAACAGGATTTTGACTAGCTAAACAAATCCTAACACACTCATGTCATTGCAGCATGTAAGGTATCAATCCATCTGAGTTCTTAAGACACTAAGAATACAGCAAAACACTTATGTCAAGCCAATTCAAGAAAGCAGTTGTGTTCAAACTAAACAGGTCTAAAGACTGAATTAAACAAGGCAAGAAATTCAAATAGATAAAGTAAGGATCTAAAATGGGGGTTATTGATTAAGAGGGGATTATAACCTAACTAGTGATGCTTCAAAATCATTCAATCAATGCTTTCTTCTAGGCATAGGATTAACAACTATAACTAGCTCAATTTCTTGACACTAATCACTTTGCTAAGTACACATTTTAGATAAATTCCTTCACTCAAACACATGATCAGCAAGCATTCAAAACATAATTCCAATCCTATAAAGCCAAAATGCACCTTAGACATCTAATTCCTTAGGCTAAGCATACAAATCCTCTAAGAGACTCAAAGCAGCATTTCATCAAACACTTATCAGGCGGAAGAGAAAGCCAAGATACTAAACAAGCCTGGCCAAGACTAATCTAGTGTTAAGCACATCTAATAGAGAGAAGATAATCATATTAAGCATAAGACATCACTAATCTAGTCTTAAAAACCCTTATAATCTATCCCATCTCAAACTCTAAATAAGACTACTCACTAGCCATAGTCAAAACCATAAATTCGAAAGATAAATAATGGTTAAGCATGATTAGAAAACAGAATAAGCAAGAATAAATTAAAGGAAAATAAAGAAACTCACTAAATCAAACTAGTTCTTACAAAGCAAAGCTAAAAAGAGAAAGGTTTTAAATGCAAGAACAGAAGAAAAATAATAAGATCTCAGTTGCCTAACCATTTTAGAACTTTAGTATTTATAGAGGAACTAGAAAAACCATAGTAAACCAAGATTAAACCGAAAATAGGCTGACTTGGTCAGACCATATCGATCATGAACATCGATACTCATGGCGATATCATCTCTTCTCCTAGGTTGTATCGATGTCCCTTGGTCCATTTGCACGATACAGAAGGCTTCAATGTTGTATTGGTTTGGCTCTCCATGGTGTGAAGTCGATACAATCGCCCTTTACTTAAGTCTCATCGGGCGTACAAGTCGATACAGCACCTCGGTATTGTCTTGTCATGTGTATCGGCCTGGGACGTCGATACGCTGCTCGGTATGGGCTCCCTTCTGTTGCATCGAGGTCTCTTAGTCGATATGCTTCCTTCACACCACGCCTTTACTGTATCGATGCTGAAGTGATCGATACTCCCATCGATATGCTCTGTATCGATCAGGTCATGTCGATCATCATCGATATTGGCCTATCCGCCTTTGTCCCTTATCTTGCTTCATTCCTAGCTTACACCCATTGCACCACCTGGCCTCCACACTCCTTCTAGTACCTGAATAAAACTCCAAATGCATGCAAAATACAAAGCAGCTCCTAAAACTACACTAACTCCTAAATGTATGCAAAAGGGACAAGAAGAAGGAAAATATGCATGTTTAAAGGCTAAAACTAGTGATGAATGCAAGCTATAATGGTATAAATAATGGAGATATCAGATCCTGACGAAAATGGAACTAATCCTATGTACTGTAATAGAAGAGCCACAGTCCCTTCTCGACCAGACGAAGGAGATAGGAATGGAATTCTACCTTGACCCTCCTGGAGGCGCAAGGTTCATAATTCAGTATGGTGCGGCCTAGTAGTATTATAAGGATGTTGGTTTTGTATATAAGAAGACTGCTGCTTTTAGAAGAGTGATTTGTTGATATGATCATGGAGGACAATGATGAGCTTGTAGCCGAGGAGAAACAAGAACAAGGCAAGTATGTAGCTGATGAAGCTCTTGAAGTTCCAAGAGGACCAGTGAAACGTTCAAAGCTAAGGCATTTCATAATGCTTTAGAAGTCCTACTTAATCAAGTCAAGATCAATGAAGACAAGGCTATACTTACCACTCGGATTTGTATTCAAGCCGATTAGTTTATGGGTCTATGATGCATTGTGTGCTCTTTTTCCCTTAGTGAGTTTTGTCCCATTGGGTTTTTTCACTAAGGTTTTTAACGAGGCCAATGCATCACATTGTCATTGCCCACAAAACTAATCAGAAGACCCAAGCCCACTTTCTTTTCCTTTCACTCGGTTTTGAAGTTTAAAAGTTATTCTAAGTGTAGTTCAAACTAGACGCTCCACCTCTTTATTGCTTTGCTTGTTACGCGATAGTCTTTGGTGCTTGTACCAAGACCTATCTCTTTATATGTGTTTTGTTGTACCACAAAGAACCCATCTATCTTTTTAATCAAATCTTTTCAAGTATATATCATTCTCTTCTGTGTGTCATATCCGTAGAAATCCTGATCATTCTTAGGTGTGTAATATCCTTAGAGTTTTCAGTTTGTTTTACAAGAGCCTTTGCATCTCTTGTCAAGCACCATCATTATCCTTCGTCCATCATCATCATTGGGTTTTTCATACCAGTCGTCACTTTCACTACAACTCATCTTGTGATCATTCAGCCGTACCGTTCACAACCATCATCATAAATCACCATGGTCGTTATCATATCAACGTGAACCATTACCTCTCATCAAACAGATCAGTCTCACTTTCATTATAGCTTTCAAAGTCAAGATCTTAGGAGGTTCATATTACGTGGTATCAAAGCAAGCTTTGAAAAGCTAAGTGTTTTTTATCCGTTCTATTTTATTTTATCGATTCATATTATTTGTCTCTTGATATTCTTGATTATCACGACTCTCATCTATCTCCATAATCATAGGTTGTTAGTTTTGAATATTTGCATCAATTCTCTGTTTATTTTCAAGTTTAAATCGTTCTTATGCAGAGTTTATTCATTTAAATTCTGTTAAGAGCCATTTTACTGCAATTTTCGTACTTGACTTTTTAGGTAGTATGGGCGGAGAGGATGGACAAGAGTCAAGTGCAGGAAGAGATAACCGTTTGTTAATTGAAGCTCTCACATTCGAAATGAAAAAGATGTTACAATCAGAAGTGGAGAAGATCAGGTAGGAGTATGAGCAAAGAGAGCCAGTTCAGAGACGTCCGGGCAAAGAAACCGCGAGAGAAGGAGAGCAAGGGGATCATGCCAGCGGACATCATACAGACTAATACTACAGAAGCAGTGGCTCATCTAGAAGTGGCCGTAGAGGTTCTCGACAAGGCAGAGAACTTGTGCAAGACAACTTAGCCGGGATC